TGTTAGATTCCAGTTAGGTTCCCAAGAGCCCCCTGCCCCAATATGCCCCAAGAAAGCTGACTGCTTTGGAACTAGGCCACTGATTTTGGGATAGTAGGGAACAGATTTCATTGCCTAAGTCCCAAGGAGGAAACAATCCTTCTTGAGAGGAGGGGAATTCTGTAAAGGAAATTGAACTGGGAGGAAGGTGAAATAGGGAGAAAGACCCATGGGGGGGAGGCGGCGCCGGTGGGGGGATGGTGGTGGTGGGGGCTGTCCTGGACTGTGTTTCCTCCTATTGTAGTTCTCCTGTAGGCAGAGTGAAGCCCTCCTCCAGAGGACCCAGAGCCCAGGATTAAAGATCTTTCATGAATGTCAGTCCCTCCTTAATGGTAGGGTTAGGGTAAGAATTATGAACAAGAAATCCAAAGATAGATTTTAGGGGCAGGAGGATGTCAGTGATTTTGGATAGGAAAAAAAATACTTTATTTCAATATAATCGGTTTCTTTTGAAATCCTATATATTTTATTTTGTGCATTTCAAAACATTATTCTGAGTCATCCTGTTCCTGCTTGTACCTCTATTTTTCTCTATATCTTCATAAGATTTAGAGCTAGAAGGTAACTTAGAGAGATCATCTAGTCCAAGTTTCTTATTTTATAGAGTGGGAAATAAAATCAAGAGATTAAGTAAATCTGTCCAAAGTCATAACTAATAAAAAGCAGCCTTGCAATTTGAACCCAGATCTTCTAGACTCCAAAAGCAATGCTTGGTCCATTAACTCCTGTTCATCAATTAATAATCATTTACTGAGCAGTTACCTGCCCTCAAGTTGCTTACGTATCAGATGGGGAGAGAAAACTAACATGAGAAAATAGTAATTTGAGGCTCCTGACAACCATAGTAATAGGCCCCTTCTTAGTCTGTGCTACATTCGTTTGGAATGAGGCTGTTTTGGAAGGGCTCTGAAATCACTGCATGTGTGTGTCTTGCCTCCCCGACCATGCTGTGAGTTTCCAGAGGGGAGGGACTCAGGCTTATTTTTCGGTAATTCCTTCCTACAGTGCCCAGTACAGAGCTATGCTCAGAGCAGGTCTCAATTCATGTTTTTGACTGAATGTTTCTGTCTTTGTTTTTGTCTTTGAGTCTCTAAGTGTCTCTGTCTCTCCATGTCTCTGGCTCTCTCTAATTTCCCAACAGCTTTCCCGAGCCCCTGGGGAGCCGGGCTGGGGGTAGGCAGGCAGTGAGAACAGGACGCTCTCCTGTTCTCACCAAGGACAATAAGGGCCGGAAAGGGCTGGAGCCAAGGGCTGGCGCTAAACCCCCCTCCTCCTTCTCCCCTCTCCAGTCACTGTTTCCCTAGCCCTGACCCTTTGGCATTCCCTCCCTTCACCCTGATGCCTGACAGGCTGCCTGGCTCTTCAAGCCCTCTGCCCAGCCTGTGACCCATAAGCCCAAGCCCAAGGATCACCCTGGGCTACAGCCCCATGTCCCCCGCTGGGTTCCAGCCCCCAAGACCACGGCCCCAGGACTGTGGACAAGGGGCACAATACCTCTGACCTCATGGGGTATCACATTATGTTCTTTATTCTTCCTTCGCAGCAAGGAGACCAGACTAAATGAAAGGTCCTTCTCACTCCTCAACCTCTCCCGCCTCCCCACCCCCATTACACTCCCGCCACCTCTCCAGAGTATTATTTACTCCTGTTTCCTGTGGCGGCAGTGGGTGTCGGAGCCTCGTGTGAGGGAGGCAGGGAGGAAACATCTGGTTTCCCTCCATACTCTGAGGCAGAGGACAACCCCCCTCCCCCTCAACTACACACTTGCAGCCTCTTGGGGGAAGGAGGGACAAAATTGCTGAAGGAGAACAGTAGAGGTCAGGTCTATGACCCTTCTCACCTTTCCCCAGGCTGTGGAAATGCTCTGGGTTTAATGATAGTGATTGAGCTGTTTGTGAGTACCCCCCTTCCAGTGTTAATTGGTGGGTCAGAAGCTGGCACCCTGAAGCCAGGCACACGAAATGCTGGGTGGAGGGTAAATGCTGGCGCCAAACTGCCTTGTAAATGCACACATCCCTTAGGAGGGGGTCATTATCCCTGGCCACGAAGTGCCCCCTCTGCCCACGCAGCCAGATGGCAGGTGCCTAGACTTCTCAGCAGACAGCCCTTCACCTGCTTTAGGCCTTCTCACCCCTCCACCCCTGAGATACGAGGGGTGACAACATCTTGCTCTATCCAGGTGCCAGCTTATCTCTAGTGCAGGCATGATGCCCCAGGGGATGGACGTCTCACTGCCTATCTACATAGGGAGCCCTGGATCTTGTCCCTTTGTCCATCACCCTCACCACAGGCATCAAGAAAAAGGTAAAGGTTAAGGAGTATTGAGACCAGGCAACACGCCCAACAGCCCTGCCCAGGGATAAAGGGAAAGAAAGGGACCCAAGCCCTTTGATCTACTCCTAGGATAATTACAAAATTCACCTCGAAGAATGTCATGGGCAATGCAAAGCAGGTCCTCCCCCATCTCATCAGATCCTGAGGAAGGCAGGATAATGAGTTTTTCCTCCTTTTAGGTTGAAAGTGTGGAAGTCGGTCTCCACTAAGCCCCTTCCCCCTCCTCCCCACTTTCTTAGAGAATGACATATTGGTGTTCCCAGACATCTTATTTTCCAACTCCTATTTATAGTCTTCTGGCTGAGGTGAGGACAGTGGGAAGTGACGGAGCGCCTAGATTTTAGGAAGGTGGGGGGGCGGCTGGATAGCTGCTACTCCCCTCCCCAGGTCTCAGTGATGCCTTCTGGTGGATGAAGGTTATTCAAGCGCCCCCTTAAATATGAACATGAGCTCTAGGCACCCTCTGCAGACAGTTTTTGGGAATAGCAGGAGAATTAACACAACACAATCCATAAGACCATACAATTTAGAGATGGAAACGTGTGTGCTGGGAAATGTTTTAACAACCAGCTCTGGGTAGTGGTGATGGTAGAACGTATTTCCAATACACTTTTAAGCTTAATTGGCAAAACTAACGTTTCCTCCTTCACTTTAAGTCTAGATAACCAACAAAAACAAAAAATCAAGCCCTGATTTGTGATGTTTGCCAATTTTTGAGGAGCAAATGCTCACATTGAAAATTTAACAATCAATTCTCTCTGGCAGGTAGGAGCTGGTTCCAGCACACCTCTGGCTGGAAGGAATTTTGGAGACTGCCTAGTCCAAACTCCATCAATTTACAGAAGGACAGAGAGGCTAAGTAATTTGATTAAGGCCACCCAGGTAATACGTAGCTAAGATTAAAACCCAAGCCCTCTTCATCAAAAACACTGGTTCCCAACCTTTCCCTATAAAACATGCTCTCCTCTGAATGTAAACTAGGGCATTTTTTTGGCTCTCATCTTCTCCTTCTGACTCCACAACCTAAGTAGTCTCCTGTGTACATTTGGATGGAGGCAGAAAAAGAGATGAGAGAAGAGTGATTCAGAAGAGATTATTTCTCATCTCAGGGAGTGCCCCATTTCTTGGCTGGGAGATGAAGCACATGGAGACAAGAGAGGCAAGCCAGCCACGTATAGAGGACAGGTAGGCAGTGGTTTGAAGGAAGCAGGGATCAGTACTGTAAAACTTTCTAAACATATGAGCTTACACATTAAGATTTCCATGCTCTTTTTGCAGCCATTTATGGAGTCTTCATTCATACGCTTGTCTAAACCTTGGGGATCATTTAATTCACCCCCTGATGTAGAGAATCTAGAGAAAACTACTCACCCTAGGTTATAAGATAGCAAAGGGCTAAATCAGGACTCAAACTCAAATTCATCTCTTTCCCTTAACTTACTGTACACATAAATTATCATAACTTACATTTACACATTGAGTTAAAGTTCTCAAAGCATTCAAGCTGCCCAACAACCATGTGTGGTAAGAGTTGCAGTCTCTATGCCCATTTTATACAGGAAACGGCTTAGAGAGCTCAGATGATTTGTTCCTGGTGTCATAGCTACTGTCAGAAGTGGCTTGAATGCAGACCTTTCTCATTTCAAATCTAGCACTCCATCTAACAGGAAAAACTGCTTCTCAAGGAGGGCTAGAGCTATCAAGCTGGCTAAAGGATTGGGGAGTAGGATTTAGAGGTAAAGGCGGAGTTAAGAGGGAATTAGGGCAAACAATGGCTCAAAGGTGGAGGAAAGCGAAGTCAGAGTGGTGAGCAGGAACAAAATAGGAGTCAAGAGGGGCTGATCTGTGTGAGAAGGCTTAATAGGAGAGACAATCTTGTTGGGACTCCCTTCACTGTCCCATTCCAGTGCTCCTTTTTCGATTAGGAAGACCTTACTGTGTTCTAGCTTCTATTCCAAGATTTAGAACATTCTCATCCTCCCAATGTGAAGATTGCCAATCACTGCTTAGGCTAAAGAAAGATCGAAAGCTGGCAAATGGTGGAACTCTTGGTAGAGCACAGGGGAAGTGCACGCAGCAGAGTGTAACAAAGAGCCCTGTGTCTGGTAGCAGATCTGGGTTCAAAACCCAGCTGCTCACTGTATGAGCTTGGGGAAAACACTTACATTGTAGGGGCCTATAGAATGAAGGTGTTGGCTAGATAACCTTTAAGTCCCTTCCAGGTCATACATCCAAAGCCCAAACATAGGAAAGCAACAGTCATGGAAGACTGCCACCATGAAAAATGAACATGTACCCTTTGCTCATGGTGTTAGAGATGATAAAGATTATACAAGTAATGAGCATGCTGGAGCCAGCTCATACCTGCTCAAGAGAATTGATTGTTAAATGTTCAGTGTGAGCATTTACATGTCAAAAATCGGCAAACGATACAAATCAGGACCCAACTTATTGTTTTGCTGGTTGTTCTGACTAGAATTAAGTGTTGGAGGAAATGTTAATAATGCAAATGAAGATTAAAAGTGTATCACTCGTGTGGTTCCCACCCCCCAGACAGACAATTGCTAAAAATTTACCAGTATACCACTGTTTATAATACTACCCAAAATAGACCACCATACACCAGATTACAAAGGAGTCAGCTTTATTGGTCATTTCGGGGTCAGTTCCTCTTCTTGCTTTTGCCTGTAACCTTGGCAGGGGCAATGACTGGGGCAGTTGCTTGGTACAAAGCAGAGGAGATCTTGTTGATGTAGTAAAGACCAACCATGGAGAAGATGAAGCTAAATGGTGAAGGAAGGAAAGAGGTCACATCAATAGCCAAACTACCAGGGCCAACAACTGAGTCCTTGAGGGATGTTAAATCAGGTCATTTGTCCTGGAATATGGGAATGCGGAACAGGTGGCAGAAGCAGGGGAGTAACAGGGTTGAAGGACGGGTGTAGAGTGGAGGCAGGAGGAGTAAGAAGTCTATTTTCTGGCTAGGGGTGGTCCTTTATGAAGGTCTCTGATGCTCCATTTTGGTGTGGAGGTGCCTCCTGGGTCTCAAAGGCTAGACAGCACCAGCACCACAACCAAGCTAGAAAGGTTTTTGGGCCTGGTGATGGACAGTAGGCCTGCTGTCTGAGGCCCAGCTAAAGGAGATGCTCATCACTACACTGGTTGCAGGATGACGAATGCTTTGGTCACAGGGACTCTCGGGGATCATCTAATCAAGGGTTGGAAGGAATATCCATGCCAAGGAAATCATGGATCCTTAAAAAACCGAAATAAGTTACACAAAAGAGAATGAGGCAATGAGGAAAGGGAACTAACACTGTGGCAGTAGATATGGGCACTATGCCCCTTGTCATGATGCCCAATACTTACCAGGTGGTTACACAGACACGGTGGATGAGGCCAGAGGCAAAGAGAGCCAATAAGAGGCAGATGAGAACTAGAAGAAAGGAAGAAGAGGGCAGAACTCAGAATGGAGGACTGAGAAGGAACTTAGTGGCACATGGGTAGGGAACAGAATTTGGGGCAATCCATCGTTCCTTGAATCTTATAGGGATGCCTGAAATAAGCAGCATGGCACAGAGGTCAGTCACCCTCCCCAGTACAAGAGACATGGATTCAAATCACAGCTTAGCCCCCAACAAGCTTTATATCTCTCTTAATCATTGTATCAGAGTGAACCCAGGCCTAGACTTGGAGTCAGGAAGACCTAGGTTCAGATCCTGCTTTGCATACTTACTGGCTATATGACCATGGGCAAGTCTCTTAACCATTGTCTGCCTCAGTTTCCCCAACTGTAAAATGGGGATAATAACAGCATCTATCTCATAGGATTGTTGTGAGGATCAAACAGATAATATTTGTTAGCACAGTGCTTGGCACATAGTAGGTATTATGTAAATGATTCTTCTCTTCCTTTCCCACCCCCTTCCTCTCTCTAAGCCAGTTTCCTCATATATAAAAGGAGGATAATACCACCTATAGCAGCACTAACCTCAAAGGGTTATTGCAAAGCCACCAATTTTTAAGGACTATATATGTCCCTTATTATAATTACTAAACTCTCAGGGCCCTAGTCTGCTCTTCTGGAGAATCAGCTCAGTACAAACTCCCTCGAAGCCAACTACTTCTCTCTGGGTTTGTTTTCTTAACTGTAAAAGGAGGAGGGGATGGACTGAGTCTCTGGGTCTGGTTGGAGGGAATCCTGAAAGCCTGCAACAGGATCAGTTAAGACTTAAGAGAAAGGATCATCTGGGGGGAAAAGATGGGTTTCAGTTTGATGGCCTAAAGGTTTTAAGGGAGACATATTTCTGTCTTGGATTTGGGGACATGGTTTCAGCTATAATTCACTGTGTAAGGGTGCCATCTGTTCTGTCCAGACAGGCAACCTGATGCAGTGGATAGATCATTGGACCTGGCCTCACAAAGACCTGGGTTCACATCCTGCCCCAGACTTTTACAAGCTGGGTAAGTATTTAAGCTTTCTGGGTGTCAGTCTCCTCATCTATAAAATGAAGGGATAGGATTCAATAACACTATTATTCAATTAACCTGAAGCTTGCATTAAATAACAAAATACAATCAACTTCTTACTACCTGAACAATCACAGGAGAGAATTTAAAAATCTGCCCTATTTGGCTTTGGGGGTACATAATCTTTAGGACACGTTCAATACTCAAATCCAAAGCTCTGTGATGAATGTCTGTTTCAGAAGAAGTTAGAAAGCAGTACAATTCTGACTCACACTTTGTGGGAGAGGAAACTGGAAAGAGCACTGGCTGTTGTCAGAGATCTTGGGGTAGAATCCTGGCCCTGTCATTAAATAACTGCCTTTGTGACTGAAGGCAGGTCACTTAGCCTCTAATAGCCTCAGTTTCTTCATCTGTAAAGTGAAAAAGTTGGACTATGACCTCTGAGGTTCCTTCGGAATCAGAATCTATGATTCTATGGTCCCTTTCCCTTGCCAGCAATGGATGGCACTACTCAGAAAAGAAGGCAAAACCTTGAATAAAACTGCCCAGCTGTCTGGCTCACACCTTCCCTGCAAAGTAGGTGATGAATTATTTGGCTTCAAAGGCCTCCTTCACTAGCTCCTGTTTCAGAACACACAGTATAATTATAATGATGATGATGATGATAGTATTTATATATAGCACTTTAAGGTTTGCAAAGAGTTTTACAAATTTTAACTCATTTTATCCTCACAATGATCCTAGACATAGGTGTTATCATTATCCCCATTTTACAGATGAAAAAACTGAGTCTGAGACCCATTAAGTGACTTCCCCAGGATCACAGAGTCTGTACTTATCTAAGGATGACTTTGAACTCAGGTCTTCTTGACTCCAGCCCCAGTACTCTGTCCACAGTGCCACCTACCTGCCTTCCTGATGCCCCTAGTTTTTAGTGTTCTCTCTTCAAGTTATCATGTACCTACTTACTTGTTCACAAATTGTATCCCCGAGTAAAATAAAAGATCATTGAGGGCAAGGTCTGTTTTTTTGTTTTATCTTTTAACCTTAGCACCCAGCACTATTCCTAGCATATAGAAGGTACTTAATAAATCCTTTTTGCATTGGAGTGGAACGTCTGATCGTCAATGGAGAAGTGAAGGAAAAATGCATCTGTAAGCCAAGTCCTACTTAACACATCATTCCCTTGCCCTGATTGTCTCCTACATACCCACTGTGGCCCCCCTTCCCCAACCAATCCAGCTCTACAGAGGTCGAGGGCTCCCATATCCCAGAGTTCAATGGAGACCCCCAGATTCTCACTTACTCTCAGGGAATATCTTGGCCTGGAACCCTTTACCAAAGACCAGGTTCTCCAAATTGTTGAAGGCCTGAGGTGAAAGGGTTGAGGAGGATGGAAATGACACATTTCTATAGTGCTCTGAGGGTTACCAAACACTGTCCTTGCAACAACCATTATGTTGCTGTTATCTCTCTCTCTCTTCACCTATATTTCTATATCTCAATATATGTATATATATATTTCTCTCTCCATCTATTTATATACCCCTCTCTCTATATATCTACATCTATTCATCTATAACCATCTATCTATATCTCTATCCCTCTCTCTCTCTATATATGTCTGTATCCATTCATCTATCTCCATCTGTCTAAATCTCTATCCATCTCTCTCTCTCTCTATATGTATATATATGTATCTATTCATCTATCCCCACCCATCTCTCTCTATCCATCTATCTCTCTACTTATAGTTCTCTCTCTTGATGTACCTAGTCTTTCTGCTGCTAACAAGCAAAGGCCTCCCTCCTCCGAAACCCCCATTTCCCGCCCTCCACCCATATCCCCACCCTCTGAAAGGATACAGTGAGGGAGAAAACAAAGAGTGCTGAGCCCAGCAATCCTCCTTGGATAGTAAGCCACTCTGTGGAGGCCAGCTGCCGGCTATACATCTGCATCCCTGCAAAAAGCAGCAGGGACAGGAGCGAAGAGAGGGCCAACGAAGTGCCCGTGCCCACCACTGAAAGGAAAAATTGGAGAAGGAAGAAAGAACAATTTATAATTTGCTCTCCCAAACACTCCCACCTCCCCCCAACACCCATTATCTCCTATATTGAATCCCATTGCTGCCCCACTATCCCATGATTCACCAGTTCTCTCCCTGTACTTCACCAGCAACACCTCAAAATTGTGCCTTGTCATCTCAATAATATTCCAGGCCCCTTCATGATTTCCCATAGTGCCTAGTATCCTACCAATGCCATGATAATGATGAGGAGGAGGACAGCCCACACTCATATGACCCTTCAAGGAAAAGAGTTCTTAACCTTTTCTGTGGTGATGAATCTCTTTGGCAGGTGGGTGAAACCTACGGACCACCCCTTTCCAAAACAATGTTTTTAAATGCATAAAACAAAATATGCAGGTTTACAAAGAAAGCTAGTGAAATGTGATTATTTAAAATATTTTTAAAGCAACAGACTCCAGGTGAAAAATAGGAACCCTTGCTTTCAGGTTGGGCCTTTATGGGATCTCACAACAATCCTGTAAGGTAGGTGCCATTTTACAGATGAGGAAACCAATTTCGCCCACCCAGTGTTCTCCAATGAACATAAATCGTGTCGAGTTCCAGGGTAACTTCTCAAATGATAGCCCATACTCCTCAATAATGTGCCAGTAATGGCCAGGTCTCCCACTAACACCTATACTTCCAAGATAATGTCCCATTCAATCAATCAATCTATGAGAAGGCAGCACTAAGCAGAACTCTGGCCCTGGGTTCGAATCCTGAATGCTTCTGTGTGGCCTCGGGTCACTTCCGCTCTCTGAACCTCAGTTTCCTCGTCTGTAAAATGGGGGTGAAGTGTTCCAGGCCCCTTCCAGCGCTCAGTCTCTGCTGAAGCCCTGCCCATGGAGGCTGACCGGCCACGTCAGCAACGCCGAGGCCCCGGCCCCCCCCGGCCCAGCAGTGATCCCACTCCCACCCACACCCAGCCTCGAGCCGGCCCTCCTGGGGGCCCCCAGGCAGATCCCGCTCGGTCCCGTTACCCATGATGCTCCACGTGCGGGTCGGCTCAGCACCTCGGCCCGGGAGAAAGGAAGAAACCGAACCGGACTCGGAGAGATGTGCGCATGCGTCAAGACTCGGCCCTTTTCTCTTCCCTCCCCCCTCACCGCCTCTTTCCTTCGACTCGTCCTCTTTGAGCCTGAGGGCGTCGCCATCTGCCGGAGAGGAGGAAGAAGTGCAAGGAAGACAAGCCCCAGCCACCGCCCCTGCCCCGCCACTCCGCTGATCGGAGAACACTCTTCCCTGTTCTAGTCCATCCCAGTCCGCGCGGCTACATCCTCAGTGCTCGTTGTACTCATCTCTTCTGCACTGCTGGATCCAATGCCTCCAGTCCCCTCCACATCTCCCCGGGTATATGTGGGTCCAATTTACCCCACGTCCCCCGCCATGTCCACCCTACCCGTAATGCCCCCTCCCCGATGCTTGTTGCACATCTAACTCCAAGACTCAGGTCGTCCCTCCCTCCAGAACCCCATGTACCCGTCCCCCACTTCCTGAATGGTGTCCACCTCTCTCTAGTTCCGTAATCCTGGAAGGTGGGGAGGCGGTGTCCAGCTGCACACACACACCACACACACCAATTTAGCAGGAGCAAAGGTACTCCAGGGAGCTGATGACAGCATAGGAAGAGCAGTCTCCCCAAATCTCCGCCTCCCTTCTTTCTAGGTTACCCCCCTTCTAGGGAACCACGTGGGGGAAAGTGCCATCCTTCCACCCCCTTCCCGCCTCCCCGCCTCCACCACCTTCCGCACCCTCTCTGCTCTCTGCGCCCCCCCATCACAGGCGCTGCTAGAAGCCGGTCCCTGGAGCATGCGCAGTGGTGCCCCACCCAAGGGCCCCCCCCCCGTCAATATTCCCTCCCCCACGCCCCTACCCCACCCCGACTCCTTCATTAAGCTAGGGGGGCTCATAGGCGAAGCCGGGATCGGACACATCAGGCACTGGTAGAGGGGGGGGAAAATTGGGGGTGGGTGGGCAGTGAGCACCCAGAGAGCCATGGCTGAGGGTGAGGATATGCAGACCTTCACTTCCATCATGGATGCGCTGGTCCGCATCAGCGTGAGTTGGGGACGGAGGGGGGAAAGTGGGGAGCTGGTGGGGAGCTGGGGTGAAGTGGTCATGGGCTAGGGGCCAGGGGGCAGGAGTCAGGGGCTTGGAATTGGCGATAGCCACCGAACAGGTGGAAGGGTCTGTTGGAGCTGCGGTTGCCGGGCTGCAGCCCCGAGGCTAAGATGAGAGAATGCTGGGGTGGGAAGCTGGGGGCAGGTGTGAAGGAGGACAGGGAAGAGAAGATACGAGGGGCCACGCGGTGAAGAGGGAAGCTGTTGACCGGGGGCTTTGGGTTGGCAATGGGATAAAGCATCTAGGCGATGGGACTTGGGGAAGCTGTGAACAGCTGTTGAGGCTGGCCAGATGTCGAGGTGGGGGGAAGGGGCGGCTTAAGGCACAAGTCCGGAGGGGACTTGCCTAGGTCTTTCGGGTTTGGGGTATCTATGCAGAGGGGCTTGGCAGGTGGGATGGGGGATGTCAGAGGGGACTAGTGATGCTCTCGGGGGACTGTGTGCTTGGAGAACCGATGAGAGGGGACTAGAAGTGATTCCCCAAGGTGTAAAGCTCCCTTTCTACCTCTCCCCTGACCCCACCCCATGTCACCCCCGCTGCCCCTCACCCCTACTGTTACCCCCACCCCCGTGCGCCTCCGAACCCTGGGCTGTCATGGCAACCCCGTGCCCGGCGCTCCCAGGGGCGGTGCCAACCCGGCTCCCCCCCCCCTCCTTCCCTCCCTCCTTTGTGTCAGCTGCGCCCCTGGCTGGGATGGCTGCTAGGAGAGGGAACAAGGTGAGGTTGGAAAGGGGAACGTAAGGGAGGGGACAGCTGGGGGGCCCCAACCACTACTGAAAAAAGGAGAAGCTACTTCCGGTGGGGAAGAGGAGGGGGCGGGGCACTCGTTACCCCCAGCTCCCTTGGGGGGCAGCTAAGGATGCTGTGCTGGGGAGGGTGGGAGGCGGGGCAGAAAGCGGTATAGTGGGATGGCGACAATGGGAGGTGAATGGCATAGAGGGGCAATCGAAGCTAGCGGACGGATTGGTTCGGAGGTCTGAAAACGCTGCAGGGTCAGGGAGGATGAGGACAGGAGATGGGGCCTTTTGAAGGGATGGGAACAGGAGAGGGAGCAGCTGCTGGCGGAACGCTAGAGAGAAATGGGCCTGGATCCGTGCAGTCTAAGGGACTGTGTCCTTGAGCAAAACGTCCGTGTTTTGGCGAGGGGAATGGGGGCGTCGGGCCAGGTGAGTGGGGGGGGCGGGAAAATGCGGCCGGGTTGCTGCAGAGCTAGGAAAGGGAAGGGATGGGAATTGGGGAAAACCGTGGCACCGCCCACATGTCTCCCAATGCCGATTCAGTACTGGAGGGAAACTGAGGCAAGGAGAAGGGCAGTTTCTCAGGGTGGGGAAGGAATGTCAGATCAGTTATTAGCTTGAAACTGGGCTTGGGAGCCCAGAGGTAGGTAGTTGGATGAGAAGAGTGGGCTCTTTCCTTTCTTGCCTTTTTCTCTGGGAGACCCAGAGATCCAGCCATTCCAACCTCTTCCAAAAATCCACTCATCTAGATCTTCATTTTTATCCAAAGGGTTGAAAATGAGGCAAAAACAACCACAATAACATATATCCAGGCCCCTGACAACCCTTCCTCCCTTTCTTCCCCCTCCTCCCTCATCCCTCCAGACAAGCATGAAGAACATGGAGAGGGAACTGCTGTGCCCTGTTTGCCAGGAGATGTACAAGCAGCCACTGGTGCTTCCTTGTGCCCACAATGTGTGCCAGGCCTGTGCCAGGGAAGTGCTTGGTCAGCAGGGCTATGGGAGCCACACTGGGGATCCCAGCTCCGAACCCACCTCACCTGCCTCCACCCCTTCCACCCGAAGTCCCCGCCTTGGCCGTAGGACCCTCCCCAAAGCAGACCGCCTGGACAGGCTGCTCAAGTCAGGTGGGGATACTGAATCCAGGGGGGAAAGGTTGGGGGATGGGTGGTAATCACAGAAAACCATAGACCAGAAATTATGGGAGTGAAGGTACACGGAAAAACTAAGGGTTGCCTGCCTGGGAAATGGGGGGAAGGGGGGATAAGGTGAAGGTACCTTCTCTGAGTCTCCTTGTCTAGTGATATTTCTGTTTCTGCTGATGACAAGGCACCTGTTTAGGGAATGAATCTTTTTTTGTCCCAGCCATGGCAGCAGCTTTGGTTGAGGACTGGAAATGACACACACCACTTTTCCCTTCTCTCCATCTCCCTCCTCATGCTCTCCTTCAGGTTTTGGAACATACCCTGGCCGGAAACGGGGAGCCTTGCACCCCCAGATTGTGATGTTCCCATGCCCAGCATGCCAGGGTGATGTGGAGCTGGGTGAGCGGGGCCTGAATGGCCTCTTCCGTAACTTGACCCTAGAGCGGGTTGTGGAGCGGTACCGTCAGAGTGTGAGTGTGGGTGGTGCCATCTTGTGCCAGCTTTGTAAGCCCCCACCTCTGGAGGCAACCAAGGGCTGTACCGAATGCCGTGCCACCTTCTGCAATGAGTGCTTCAAGCTCTACCACCCCTGGGGCACTCAGAAGGCCCAGCATGAACCCACCCTGCCTACCCTCACTTTTCGCCCCAAGGTGAGCAAGCCCTGCCAGTCAGACCTGTGGGTACCTCTGCAGAGGTATAAGGAGCTGGGGGAGAGGGAGGTTCTGTATAGTATTATGTTAGCTCCAGTACAGTGCTTCCATGCTACCAGGGACCTGGATAATGTGGGCAACCAAATTTGTCAGCACCCAGAAAATCATCAGACAATCTGCAAGATGCTTAGATATTTACCTTAAAATACATGCATGTGCACACAGAGACACACAGAATTGACATCTTTGCCACTTACAAAGTATTGGTGACATACTCATTAAGGGACTGGACAAGTAATTTAGTAGTACCCAGAATAATGTCCCTTATTTTAAGGACACCTATTACTACCCAGAATAATGCTTCTAATTTTAAATGCCTCCTTGTACCTAAAAAAAAGCCCCTCTCACTGTCGTGCTGCCTAAGGCTGTTGTAATCTAGCTGTGTGGTGCAGCCCTGCCTTTCCCCCCAGGACAAGATGTTACCTCTGCCTTTGGCACCTAAACACTGGCATCCGGGAGACTAAGAAGGATTTCTTAATACCAATGCCTTGATTTTCTCTGCAGGGTCTGATGTGCCCAGACCACAAAGAAGAAGTCTCTCACTACTGCAAGACATGCCAGCGACTGGTGTGCCAGCTCTGCCGGGTTCGGCGCACCCACAGTGGGCATAAGATTACACCTGTGCTTAGTGCCTATCAGGCTCTAAAGGTGAGGAGCCTTTTTGTCCTATCTTCATTAGCCCCCTCCTCTTCCCCTCTCCCCACCCCACCACATAATCACCCTGTGCCACACTGATCTGATCTTTCTCACCACCAGAGCAAAAACTCCTCCTGTGCCCGGGCATAATGCCCACTTCTCTCTTCCTTCTCAGGAGAAACTGACAAAGAGCCTGACATATATTTTGGGAAATCAGGACACTGTACAAACCCAGATCTGTGAGCTGGAGGAGACAGTGAGGCACACAGAGGTGAGGGAGGGCACAGGGGCAGGCATGATGCCAGGGCAGGGTGGGTAGGGCTGGCTAAAATGTCAGAGAGCTCTGAGAGTTCTGAAAGAAGGTAACTTTGGGGTGCCTTGGAATTGTCTAAGGTGATAAGTAAACAAAGGTTGTTGGTGTACTTGGGTGCTTCTGGCAAGGCTGACATGGACTCTAGTGAGTGCAAAGGTGCAAATAGTGACAGGCAGTTTAGGGAGAACCCCAAAGGGAAGTAGCATAAATACCCCAAGGCTTAACATTCAGCTCCAAAAGGTTGGCACAGATGCCCAGGAAGTTGGCATAGCTATCGGTTAGCTGTAGCATTGATGCTCTCTGCCAAATTGTTTGGTTTGGATGCCCAGGGGAACGGGCAGTGATGCAGGCATCCAGCAAGGCTGACACAAATACAAAGTGTTTGGCATGAGTGAACAAGGGTCCACCACTGGGGTCATGAGTCTTGTCCTTTTACCTCTGAAGGTAGAGATAGTATTAGTGCAGGCACTTAGGGGAATAACAATGATGTTGGGCACCCAGAAAGTTGGTAAAGGGGCCAGTGGCAGAAAGATGGAGAATCATGTTCCTTGTGCCCTTTTCTTCCCTTGGGCAGGTGAGTGGTCAGCAAGCAAAGGAGGAAGTGGCTCAGCTGGTGCGGGGGCTGGGTGCAGTGCTGGAGGAGAAGCGGGCAACACTGCTGCAGGCCATTGATGAATGCCAGCAGGAACGGCTAGCTCGGCTGGGGGCCCAGCTCCAGGAGCACCGGAGCCTGTTGGATGGCTCAGGACTAGTGGGCTATGCTCAAGAGGTCCTCAAAGAGACTGACCAGCCTTGTTTTGTACAGGCTGCCAAGCAGCTACACCACAGGTACCCACTGGGCACCGCACTGGGAAGCCCTTCCCCAGAAAAGGGTAGGGCTGAGAACGAGGTAGCAGAGCGGAGGGAATGGGAAAGGAGAAAGAAGGAAGAAATGCTCATGTGTAGACAAGTGACAGAGCTGATGCCCGTGTTAATGCCAGAGGGTGGTGCTTTGAGCACCCAGGGATTATTTGGACCCTCCGAGGAATGTTATAAAGCAGGACTGAGGCCCAAGCGGTGGGGTGGGCTCCCAAATCCGAGATCCCAGGGAGCCAGTTCCCGTGCCAGGGTGAAGGATAAGTGATGTCTCTGCTGACCACCCTCACCTACC